CTTTTATTAAACTACACATTTATTTATAGGAAATGGGTATTTCCAAAATGTACATATATATTTAAATACTAGTCCCAATTTACATGTTTATGTATATTATAAAATTTATGAATATATAAACACAGTGGAATCAGAAAAAGGACAGAGAAGGGAAATAAAGATAGCCCTTATATGGGCCATCTTGGATAAAAGCAAAGATTAAGTAGAGTAGAACACTAGGAAAGAGACAAATGATGGTGACAGAGATCTCAAATATAGAAGTAAAGGAGAAAAGAGGTAAACAGTAGTGATAATTTTCTGTTTCTCAGAATGGGAAAACCAGAAGGAAACAGTGAAAATATTGCACCAAGGGTTTAAAAATGGGATGTATTTCTTATTTTACACAATGCATATTTCATCGTGTAACTCATCCCACTAGCTAAATGTTGTCAAAAGGACAAATATAGCACAAAAGGGCCTACAGAAATTCCTGAAGAGTGGCTTATTTGAGTCATTAGTCACAACAGTCCAAATGCAACATGAGGGTCAATAAGGAGGGTCTGCAAGCAGCGGGTAACATTGATCTGTCTCTTGCACTCTTTCTTTTGGTATCTGAAACCAGTTCCTCTCTGAAACAGAAACCTGAATGAAGGAGATTTTTTGCTTGACCTAGTACAGCAGTTCCAATGCACTTATGGTTGGAATATGTTGATTAGGAGTGATCTTGTTCTAAGGATTCTTAATTGAAATAATTTATATTGAACAGGAAAAAAAGGTAGATATGGAATAAAATCTGTATGTTGTTTTCAAGAAGACTGCTGTACGGCTTTCAATAAATTTTACCACATTTGCCAAAATAGGAGAAAAAGGGTAGAATGTTTCTGACCTTGTCACAAGATCTAGTCAAGATAAATAATGATTAGGTCTCTTCCAGGCTACTCATTACTTGTCAGCTTGACCTAGAAATTGTTACAATTGTGTATTCTGGAAATCAAAATGGGTGAGTTTTATGACTATTGCTAAAAAAAAGAGTATTGTGTATAAACATACGTTGACAAAAGCCAGTGACACAGATCATATTAAAGAAATGCTTCCAGGTAAGTCCAATCTACACTCTACAGAAGTGACCTCAGAAAAACATGTATCTCAAGAGGTAGTATTATTTTATGATGAAGGGATTATATTCTAATGATCTCTTCTAGATTAAACAAAGTGTTTCCGCCACTTAACCTTGATAACACAAAACTTGACTCAGTCATAACTAAACTTTAACTCTTACTATATCTATGTGTCCAGTCTTAATTCTAGTTCATTTTTTCCCAGGAGCACAATCCTAACTCTGATCTGTCAGTACTTCCAAGACTAGATCCTTCACCACTTCCTGCCTGACCTGCAGCCTCCTCCCAAATATGAGGCATAATCTCCTCTGGAAACCTTTGCCAGCATCAGAACTAAATTACACAGAATACCCTTACTGTCATCACCTCCAATCCTCATACGATAATCATATGTCTCAAATCCAACAATAAGCCTGCCATACACAGTAGATCCTTGCTTAGAGCAGATTTGCATCTTTTGGCCTCTGACCTAGGGTGAGTGTTGAAGTAATGTCTTGTTTCATTCCACAAGGTAAATCTGTATGCTTCTGGTTCAAAAGTGATTATTTAATTCAGCCCTGGTCCTAGCCTGACAAGGTCCATCAACCTCTCTGCCAGCTGGCTGCCTGTACGTGTATTATCTCCTGCATACCCTTGCAAGTCCAGGAAGTCTAGGCTGAGCTTCAACCTTATTTTCTTTTGTTAACCTGGATTCTAATCAAATACATTTCTTTCACCTGTAGTTTCTGCCAGTGCTAGATCACAACTGAGATAAGAATTGTCCAGCTAGCTCTAGTGCTCTACATAACTCAGCATCCAGTTTTTAGCTCTATTTTATGATTTTTTTGACAACTGGTGGTCAAAATCCTAATCTCAGCCGTAACTCTGCCCAAGGCAACCCAGTCTCCACCATTTCTAAATCAGCCAGCAGTAACCCCAACCACCAGCATGAAAAAATAGCCAGATAATCTCTTCCATCAGCAGCCCTAGCACTACAAAAGACAGCATCAATACAGATCCAGTCCTAATCTAGATATATTTGACAGCCTCCGGGCAAATATTTTTGCATCCAACCCTACACATCTCTGATGCAAAGATGTTGGTCCCTGCAGGTCCTATGAACAAAGCGAAACTGGCCTTCATTTCACCAGGATTTTATCAAATATGGCACTATTCTTTTAGGAAAAAGGCATTGCTATTCACTAGAATCCGAATTTTGTATTAAGTACATCAAAATAGGGAAAACCTCAGAATTTGGGAACACAATTCAAGTGGAATTTATGTTTGTCATCTTTTCCAGGTCTTCTGCCTTTCAAATGTCAAAAGTTTTTAATGAAGATTTATAATTCTTAAACTATGAACATAAAAAATAAGAACATGAAAAACTCCAGCTCTTCTTCCATTTCGTGGTAAAACACTTTTTTTTTTTAATATATATTTTTTTTTTTTTTTAAAAAGAGAGCTGTTTCACTGAATCATGTTTACCATTTACATATCTTGTGAAAAGATTGTCAAGAGTTCAGCACATGAGGAACATACCACTATTACAAAGTCAAGAAATTTAGCAATTATACAGTTCAGCTCCTACAAGAACAGCATGAGGCTTATTCTTGCAATTTTAAAGCACTCCACATCATCAATAAAGAAACTTAAAAGTCAACTTCCATATTGAGTTTCTAGTTCTGAATCATATCCACGTGTCTAACTTCACCTCACTGAATATGAACATTCGGGGTAAATTGAAAAGGATTATAACAGTCATTCTGGAGACAACGATCCTAAAACAGAGTTTTGCTATATCGACAAATTTATTTAGATATGTTTGCATAAGAACTGCCTGATCCCAAGAAAGTAAATTGTGACACCCCAAGAGATTCTCCTTTTTCAGGAAAACATTCTAATACCACAGAGAAGTCTTTCGTCTGATTTTTTAAAGAATAGTACTTTACCTTTACCAGATGAAGGCAAATAATCATGGCTATAGTTAAGTATGGAAAGCAGTTGCCAAGTCTGACATAACTGAAAGGTATGCATGCATTTTGGTACTCCTGTATTAGCCTTATTTGTATGTACACTCTTATATCCAACAAAATCTAACAAATAAAATATTCAGAAGCTAAAAAATTTTGTTAGAAAAATAATTAAATACCACAGTAACAGAATAATGACCTTGTTGCATGAAGCAATGTCTAAAGCATCTTCTACAGATGTTTACTAAAAAACTAACTGTGATTCAAATGCAAGGAATTTTTAAGTGCCTGATCCAAGGCAAAATATAATACCAACCTCAGAAAAGATCCTACAACCGTGAACAGGGTTTTGCTTGTGCATTTTCCTAATATCCGTTTAAGACAACGGTTATGTCAATAAATTAACGCCTGCTGAGCCATGGTACTCCGACTTTCAAAAGGTGCAAACATACAGCAGAACTATTAAAATAGTTCAATCTCAACTCGGCAGTGTCTGTTCTGCTCATGCCTAGCAAGCTTGTACACTCATATTGGCCAGACAGCCATCATACAAGCAGGGTACTGCCTTTGATTTAACCAGAGCTTCTTACCTTGCTTTCTTTGACAGAGAAGGAAATGCAAGCACCAAGGGATAAAGGTATTTTCCCTGCCATAAAAGATAACAGTAGAAATACCAGGAACACAGTCCAACCCTCCTGTTACCATTTCAGGGCCACTGGTCTACATGATGAGCTGTCCCCAACAGGTAGGTTCTAACTAACCAGGCTGCCTCAAATATGTAAAAAGATCAAATAATGCAAAGTGAGCAGTACTGTTTACACTGCACTGACGTTTGTCATCTGGATATCATCTGAAATACAGGTAAAGGTGGTTTAGACATTTTGAATTGGCCAGCATCTATTTTGTTAAAGCACTTTCATTCTGACCTTCAAAGAGAAAGGAATGCATTCCTCAGGTCAGGCTTCTCCTTGTGAACCAGTCTTGATAATTTCAGCTTGCTTTTTGTGCTGCTAACATACTAAGATGGATAGAGGACAGTCTGCAGGGCTTTGCTACTTCCCGAGCTAACCCATTCCAGCCCAGTCCAGCTTAGCCCAACCCAATCACTTAGCGTATTTTCCAGTTCACTGTTCAAACTTCTAGCTGCCATCAGCTCTAGGCTAAAGGAAATGTCATCTACCTCTGGGGCCCACAGCAAAAAATTTATGTAGTCCTGGACATGATACAGGTTTTACAGTTTTACAGCTGAAATCCTTCAAGTTCCTTGGACCTACTGGAAAAGGATTTATTTTATTGTAATTCCCAAATGTTCATTTTTGTATGTGTGTTTTCCTACAGAATGTGTGCATTGCTTCCAGCAATGTGTTTTATATTACCTGGAAGAATAGAAATGCTCTAATGGGAGGAAACAATTTTATTCTTATTGCCAGTGCAACACAAAGCAGAACTTCAAAATGACACCATGACTTCTCAAGTAAAGTCATCCCATTTATTTTCGAGCTTGGGGACCTCATTCTCCCCTCTCTTACAGTCTTCTGTGCAATTACACTAGTATAAACCCCACAAATTATTGGCCAAAGATAGAGACTTTCTTTCTTTTTTCTTGTCACAGACAAAGCAAGCTGCATGTCCTTGATTTATATGTATGTCAGCAGCACACACAGAAAGTAATCTGCCTTTTCTTGGAATGAGTTCATCTTTTCTCTTTTGGGCACACATTGGGTATGCCTTTCTTGGCGTACACTCAGTCTCTTTCCTGAGGAGTGTCCAATGAGTCTTTCATCAGATATTTAAATATAAAGAATTTCAAGCAGAGTTCAAGAGCTAGCCTGGACTAGACTTTGTGGCACGTGTCTACTCGAAAACTAAGATTTAGAAAAATGTCTCTCGTCTTTCTAACGCATCTTGTGTTACTTTACGTTGCTCTAAGAGGTCAATGACCAATGACCCTCACCTTGACAGTGAAGTCTGCTGTGAGAGGCCCAGATATTCTTAATATCTCCTTGTCAGGAAACTTCTGGAAATCGATGCTAGAGTTGTCCATGAGGAAAGAGCCTGTAGAGCTGAGGCTGTTTTCACTCTTCACACCTTGGAGAGTCTTGGTTTCCAAATCTGACAAACACAAATAAATTAAGAGGAAACTACAGTGTTATAATTTGAAGTAAGACTAAGTGAGAGCAGAAAAAGAAAACCCACATGAAACAGTGGTGGTACAGATTGGACTCCTAAATTAGTGATAATGCAACTTTTTTGTTCTTTTCCACAATTGATTCACATTCCCATACATTCCTTTTCTTTTTTCTCCTCCGTCTACTTCCTGGCTTTCTACAACCCTTGAATTTCTAGCTCCGTATTCACCTCCTCACCATAGGTCATATTTTTATTCTCTTCCAGAAATATTAATCCATCCCTGGTTAGGCGTATTTTCTGCCGTTTAACTCACTCCTAGTAAGTATTGTTCCTATGTGGATGTTGTGGGTTAGGCTGCTCCAGCAACCGAACCCACACAGATGGTCACTCCCCCTCCCCCAGCCCCAGGAATGAGGGAGAGAATTAAAGGACAAACGGGAAACCCGTGGGTTGAGATAAGAACAATTTAATACAGATGATTTAATACACAGTGTAGATGCTCACCACCCCCTTTGATCCGCAGCCCATCTCGTCCCAAAGCTGCAATCCCGGACGAACACGAGGCCCCGAAATAGAGAGGGGCAGAGAGAGAGAGAGAGAGAGTACTCTGAGAGCGGGAGTACTGGGAGAGAGAGAAAAAGAAAGAAAAACAATAGAGCAAAAGCGCAGCAAGCACAAAAGAGCAAAAGCGGCGAAAGAGCCAAAGCGCAAAAGCCCTTCTGTCCGGCTGACCCTCATCTTTATACTGGGCATGACACTGCATGATATGGAATACTAATTGGCCAGTTTGGCTCTCAATCTGAAGTTCCACCACAAATCACAAGGGGAATCGTGTCCCTCTTGTCCCAACTATGCTCCCCCCTCATCCCGCCGTGCTTCTGCACTCCGGCACACTGAAAAGTCCTTGGAGTCTCACTTCCAACCACAAACATCAACTTGCTATCAGCATTCTTCTCAGAGCGAGCCTCTGAGTAAAACCAAAACACGGAGCTCTTCTAGCTGCCAAAAAGAAACGCTAACTCTGTCCCAGCTAAAACCAGGACAGTGAAGCATGACTCAGACCTTCCCCCATGAGTCCTGGCTTTGTTGAGTTGCTGTTCCCTCTTTCAGTTCAAAGGTGGGTCACTAACCACACTTTGCTGTGGTAAGACAATTAATTGAAAGCAAGGCATCCATGAAAGAAAGAAAGATCACGATGTCAGCAATCCTGCCTCCTCTCCAGAAGTGATCTGATTTATCCCAGTGGAGCGGGAAGGGATGGCGAATACTGAACCCTCCTGAGCTCTCCTTCTGTCTCTCTCTGTATTCACAGCTCCCAAAAAGTGGCCATTAATTTTGATGCTGTTTGGTAGCAGCTATTTCTGGCTGTTAAATCGTAATAAACCTATTAAATCATTTCTTAAATGGAAACCAACAGTCAGAAAGTAGGACTGTTCCATCATCTAGCTAGCCTCCCCACCAACTCCAAATTACACTTTACAGCACGTTCAGCAGTAAACTCTTTTAGTTATTTCAAAATGACAATGCATTTCATCATGAAGGATTGCAAAGCTGTAATGCTTTCACATGTATTTGTGAAATTTTGCACAAAATCTTCTCCCACGCAGAGAGGCAGCTAAGGCAAAATATAGACCACGACAAATGGGAACAAAGTATTAATCTATGACGGAATCATGTTTGCAGAGATGGTAAATGAGAGAAATGTTTTTATTAGCATGTTTTCTGTTGTTAATTAGAGAAATTAGACTGCTTTTCAGGATGGCTTATGGGAATTAATTCATTAAGGAAATTGCTGAGGCAGTACACTAAGAATTTGCTCTGTATTAATGAATTCCTTGGCTTTTTAGTGAGACTAGTCTCTTCCTTTGTGATGCAGTCAGCCATATATTTATTTCTGGGCAAAACTGTGTGCATCAGAGATAAAGATGGCTTTAAGGCTTGTGTATATATAATCGGCCTCCTGTTGACTTCTCCCACAATCAAAGTTCACAGGGCAAAACACTCCCTCCTCCCTAACTGATTGTAGCTCACACACATATAAAATCCTTTGATGGGCGAGCAGAAAGATTAATGGAGACATCCGAAACAAGAAGGAGATGTATGTGAACTTATTCGTGTTTACAAAGAGCAGTTGATCTAACTCTCAACCAGCGACTCAGGCAAACCTCACTGATTCAAGTCTTTTTGTCCTGATTCAGATCTTTTTGTCCTGAAGCGTGATATGGCCTAAGCAAAGACAGCTTTAGATCAATCTCTCCTGCTAAAATCTCATTTGTCTCTAAGCTGTCTTATTGCTCAATTTCACTGAAAAAATAATAAAAGTACAAATTTTTTCTACCTTGGAAGAGAGTTTCCATACTGGGAAAGAAGACAGGAGAGAAAAGTGCAAATCATTTACTGGGAAAGTAATAACAACCACACTGGAGCTACTCAGGAACACCCAAAGGGTCACTTAAAACTGAAGTACAGGCAGCATATGAACATTTTAGAAAAATATAATATATTTTTTCTTTGTTTATAACCTATAATTTGCTGGTCTTTATTCACAGCTCTAAATCTCAAGAACCCTTGAAAGGCTATGGCATGCCCACTGCTTTCTCAACACAAGCAGTGAGCTACAGAACAGGACTGATAAACCATCTCTTATTTTGCCACTCAGTGTAAGTTCTTTGGATGAAAGAAATCTGGACAGATTGGGAATGATTTGCTGTTTCACCTCCTTGCCGACACTAATGTTTGTATTTAAACTGACAAGCATAAAGAGCTCTAACTGTTCCGTGCTGCAGGAAAGCCTTATCACCTTTTGGAAAAGGAGAAGGGGAGACCTACTTATCTTACAATAATTTTGTGCTTCTGAGAGATTATGCAGTACAGTTTGTGGTTTTTTTGACAGTAAATCCCATTTACCAACCCTCCAGTGTTCATTCGCTGACAATGAAAGAAGGAGCAACTTGTGAGTAGCTACTGCATTGGGAGGTAAGAAAGAGGGACGCAGAGGGTTTCTGTTCATGAAAGAAATAGATTTGCCATCATATCTCCCAGCATGTCCTCGGATCCTGAGACTCTTCTCCCAGAGAAGAGGGATACGCAGCTGCTGGGATACACAGCTCCCTGTCAGATGAAGCAGGGAAGTGTTAAAGCCACCAAGGGATGGGTTAGCAGCACTCAGTGGGCTTAACTCCTTGGAAAAATTTCACTACTGAGGAGCCTGGTTTGACTTGTGTATGTTGGTCTTGATCTTTAGACTGTGACTTTGTGTGCATGTGCTTGTGTGTGTGTGCATCTACAGGAGTGAGAGAGATTATCATTACAGAAAGTGTGTTAAAGTCATGAGCAGCTCGATGGCTAAGCTCAGCTGTAGCGAAGATTATACTTTACCGTCCTCAATATTTCTTCACTCAGTGGGATACACTTTATTAATTTTAAACAAAAGCACTTGGCACCAAGCGAGCCAGCCAAAGGATAAGCAAACAGAAATGACTGAAAAATTATGGAGGGGTAAAGGATTCTGCAATGTTGGCCAAGCTCTGCTCTGGAAAGAGCATGCACCACTGATGTAATTGGGTCCGAGGAGAGCTTCTGAGGGCAGGGCTCATCCCTGTGTTGAAATCAGGGATCTGAGAGAGGGAAACCAGACACCACAGTGTAAACAGAGCACTGCTGGTTAGCAAGGCTTTCTTAAACAAACGAATACTAACTTTTTCTACTTACATAAATGATCAGGTCCTTTCAGTACGAGGCGAACTTGCCTACTTCCATAAGGAATAGCAACCACCGTATCATCCACTGCAGGAAAGCAGAAAAGCATGGAGTAAATGAGCAAAGAAAATCCCATGTGTTTTCAAATGAGTGGTGAAATAGCTGCTTACAAGGCAGTCAAAAGAAAAGCTTTTTGACCAATTAAACAACTCTATGAACTATGAGAGAAAATTAAAAATCTGAAAAAAGAACTTGTTAAATGTGGTAATAACCTTCTACTTAGAAGAACTCACACTTGTTGATCTTCTTTATTCTTCTTTACAACCCTTTCTGGATTTCAAGGGTAACTAAGAGCTTTCTAGTTCACCACGACTCCACTGACACCTCTTCCAAGTCTTTTGAACTGATGTTTATGGCGAAGAAGGGAAGCACAAGCCCATTCTGATGTTTAACCAGAACAGCCCATTCCTTCACTTGACCCTACAGCTTCTCCATGACCCTGCCCATGCTAAGTGATGAGCTCCCACTGCCCTCAGGCATGCCTTCCTTTTCACACCTTTTATTTTAATGACTGGAAGTGCTATAATTCTGCTTCCCCTTCCACACCACTAACAGAAAGCCCCTGGAAAAACAGGAGTCCATTAGACTGCCATGTAAACAGATCTTAGAGCATGATCTTGCACCTATGGAAGCTCTTAGGAGCTTTGCCAACTGGATTTAAACCAAGGTGTAAATTAGCATGTAGGTCACATGTTGCTGTGAAAGTTAGTTAGGTCAGCGTTTCTAAAAAGGCAGCAACCTCAGTAATCTCCTGAAGGGAGATGGGAGGGAAAGGTGTGGAAAGATGCTAGAAAATGCTCCCAACTCTATGCCTGAGTCATGGAGTGAATGTCCAGAAAACGCTGACCTGGGCTAACCAGCATGCCTATATTCTCTGTCCTTTCTGTCCCCTTCTCTTATAAATAGAAGTTGGGAAAGAAAGACTATGCATGCCTAACAGGGTTTTGTTTTGAGATGTGGTAAATGTGAGAGAAATTAATCCCCTTTCACTATATGTTCATTAGTATTGCTCACATCTGTGTCCTGTAATGCCCACTAGCAAGAATTACAGCTCTGCTCTCAAAGCAATGTGTTGTTTTGTCAGGTAAGGCTAACTCAGCCAATAAAAGCATATTATCTTTCATCCAAACATATGAGCTTGGACCTTAAGTTTCTGACCAGAATGAACCAGGAAAACTGTTTCAGCCTAGATAAATCAGGATTCTCAGTTACCGGCAAATAGTTATTAATGCCATTTTATGTCAAAAAGTGAAAAAAGGCAACAGAAAGAGGGAAAACTACGAGAAACAGGGACTTCTTTTAAACAATACATTTATTCATCCAAACCTATAATATCTCAGAAATGTGAACTAGAACTCTCTTAAATGTTAAATTCAGTCATGCATCATAGGAATTTCTGACACTCATATTGCAGAGCTTTATGGAATGAAATGACCTCTTAATATCCCAGAAATGAGGGGGCAAGTGTAGGCAGCCTGATAAATCTCTGAGTGTCAAAAGAGTTGTGTGGAGATAAAGTCTGTTCACTTGCCCAGGCTTTTCTGAATCTTGTCTTCATTTTCAAAATCCGATTTTATATGTTTCCTCAACGTATAGGGAAATTTTGTCTTAGGACTTCTGTAAAACTGGGCTTAACGTCTATTCAACACATACTCTGCTCATACTCATCTCTGATATCAGATTAATTAGCAAAGATAAACATATTTCATTTCTACACAGAATTTGAATTTTCTATTTGAAAAGAAATATTAAAGTCTTACAGAATTCATTAAATATGAATATCATAATTTTGATTCTCTTGGTGCCATTTTGGCACTCATATTCAAGATATCCAGTAGGATACATACATTTTGTCCATTTTGGGGACACATAACTACTACATTTGACTATCTCTTTAGTTATGAGCGCTATGCTAGAGAGTTAACAACTCACGGGTATGTCACAGGAAAATTGGATGGTTTAAAGATCACATTAGCTTATATATAATATATTTTTAGCATGTCTCTTCTGCCCCGGGGTATCACTAGAACTATATTTCGCCTGATCTTGTCGTTGCTCTCCATTTGAAATCCTAGCACACTTTATGTGAAATGCAAAGCTCAGTGGGATTTGTGCTTATCACAGTGCTTCCTGCTTTCACAAAGCAGAAGCAGTAGGGACTGAAGGATAATTTCCTGAGGTTAACAGTGATAAGGAGACATTTCCTGTGAAGAGACATGTGAAAGTAAGCATGGTAATATTCAGTCACAGCAGCTCCCTCCAACAACAAGCAGAGAGGCAGATTGCGGAGCAGCCATGGTAGCTCTCTGAAGAAAAGGCACAAAGGGTGTTAACAGGAGGTTGGCTTCTTCCAGAGAAGATACATAGGGAGGCAAGGGAGACTCCCAGTTAACTGAGAGGGCAGTGGTCTAGGGCTGTGAAGAAAGTGCAAGGAATTAGGCAAAGGTTATATGTCAGGTACATACATCAGATTCCTCTGAGAGATCATTTTCTTCTGGTTTTGGATTTTGAATTTGGATTTTGTCCAAATGGTCCAACTGTCTGTTCTCACCATGAAAAATGGAGTTGTTTCCATTTTGACATTACTATTGATATTCAACAGAAATCTGGAACTGCATCTATTTTTGGCAACCATGCAAGAGTAAGTGGATAAATACCTATTCTGCCTCAGCATAGTAATTTCTACAATTCTCTTTTGAAAGTAATCTACTTTACTAGTAGATGTCAATCCTTTTCTTGAGAAATACTAGCTTTGCACAAGGTGATCAGTGGAGTTCACCCATTACTTATGGGATGAATTCTCTAGCTCCTTGGTGAATACAAAGAAGCCTGCACAAACACAGCTCATCTCCATAGGAAGGTCCATATGCTCTTTCCAAAGGGAGATCTTATTAAAAAAAGAAAGAACTACTTTCGGCAGACCCAATCTTAGGACTAAGAGAAAAGGATATTTCTGAAATGAAACAAGTCTTTTGCAGCTTTTTTTTTTTTTTTTTAAATTGAAACAACATAGACAGAGGTCCTTCCTTTTTCATACAAATGTAAGAGAGAATTCAAAGTCACATTGCCTCCTGCTGTGCTATGCTTCTTTTTCTGAGGCCACTGGGAAATGTATACTACCCCTATAAATGCTGAGGAAGCTGTTCCCGTAGCAAGTGTTAAATGTTTAAAAGCTCTATGAATTTCTTTCTAGTACTATCTTTCTCCTATGCCTTTGCATGATATAAACAGCATGGAGAAGGGAACTGGATATGAGCACCAAGGGAAAATGAATTTAGTATGACGAGCTGAAGACTGTGTCTGGGGTGCTTTTGAGATATAAACAACTTCAGAAACTATTGGGATAGTGATGGAGTAAAGGTCACTGTTCAATCTCCCTGGCACAGTCCTCAAAATTGAATTCCATGCTCTGTTAGGCAAACAAAAATCTCAAGTGAGCCCGCAGAACACCTCTGCAGGTATCTGGGCACTGCTGCACGTACCCCTTCTGATTTTTCTTACATTGCATAGCAGTCTGGCTCACATAGGCTTTTAGTGCCTTGTTCATACCACAGTCAAAATAGACATAATCCTTGAGAAACAAGGATTATTTTATAGAGATAACTTGGATTTAAGTTATTGACTAGCCAAATGTAATCCAGTCATTCCAACAAAAAATCAGGCCCTGATCCTAGATATGCTTATGTAGATACATTCACAGTAACAAATAAGCAAGATGCTGACACAGACGAAGTACCAAAGTACCAAAACGACAGGTCTTTAAACAGTGCTGAGGAGGATAAATGCAGAAAACAAACACAGAGCAGATTTTTAAAAGCTTTTCAACACTTAAAATCTCAAATTTTCCCGGCATGTACAGAAACAATTTGGAAGCAAACTTCCAAATGAATTCATATTAATTCACACATGTAAAGGAGATCCATAAGTGTGCATTTACAATTGTAACATGCCAGTTTAAAGGAGCACTTATTTCAGACATATTTGAAATTTGTACTGTGTTGCATAACAACACGTATGTCTACAGCAGGTGAGAGAATAATGACACATGGTTCATACAGAGTGCATACAAAATCTGATTATCTACTTCAGTTCTGTATAACAATTATTTGCATGCAGATGTGCCTGAACAATCCATTCTCAACATTTTTTTCAAATTTGTCTCACTCTAAGACTACGTTCTCTGCCATCTGCTCTTAGCATTCCCTACATTTAACAGGAAACCACTGGAGTAGGGACTCTGTTAACATTTTAGTACTATGCATAATACATTAGTGCCTTTATCCAAAAAAGAGGAGCACCTTTCTACCACAAAGCAACTGAAAAACAATGAATTATTCCTACAGGAAATGACATTTGCCAAAGAAGTTCACAAATACTGTCATGCCTCAAGCAGCCTGGAGATTTCTGAATCTGTTCACGCACATTGAAGAAACAGTAACAATGAGGTGAAATTCCATTGCTAAATCTTTGTGAATTATTTCCTTTGCCCTCTAATGTGCAGTTCTGCTTCAGCAATGGAACTCTTATGAGGATTATTCCTTTCTTCACACAAAATAGTTTTTCTTTCTTCCTTTCTTTCCTTCTCATTCTTTCTTTTATTTTCTTTCTTTCTCCCTTTGTTCTTCAGTTTGTCCCTTCATTTGTTTTTTGCTTCCTTCCATCCTCCTTTCCTCCTTTCTTTCTGTCTTTCTCTGTTTTTCTTTTTCTCCCTTTCTCTATCCTTCCTTTCCTTCCTTCCTTCCTTCCTTCCTTTCTTCCTTCCTTCCTTTCTTCCTTCCTCCTTTCCTAAAACTCCCTTTCTCTATCCTTCCTTTCCTTCCTTCCTTCCTTCCTAAATTTCTTCCTTCCTAAATTTCTCCCTTCCTCCTTTCCCTCTCTTTTTCTTTCTCCCACTCTCTCTCTCTCAGTTAGCAAATGCAGACCCAGAGGTGCACTGTGCTATCTCCTGCTCCTTGCACTGTGCTCCATACCCACACAGCTGCTTCTCTACAGAGAAAAGTTTTGTAAAAAGCACCTCTCACTGCTCCTCACAGAGATGGAATGTTACCTATATAGGAATCCACAAGTGTACACACAGAGCTTTCTGCAGATATCACACTGCTATTTGAATCTTTCAGATCATGTGCTATGCAGCACTGGAAAAAGTGCTCCAGAATGGTAGAGCTCATCTGGTTAAATGCTGATGCCACTGAGTAGGGCTGGGGGTAGGTTTGCAGACTAGCACGCCTGATTCCTTAGGTGTGTCTACATTGACATGACACTACACCTACCTTTTCACCCTTCCTTCAAACCGACCAGACATGACCTACCTCTCATGCCAAAACTTTTACAGCACCATCTGTGGTGCTGTAACCAGACTGAAAAGTCTGCCTGGAGTTCAGGGTAAATTAACCCTGTCACTAGTGCACACTAATGCTGCTGTATCACTCTGCTGAAGCTGGATCAGTGCATGGGAAAGCCCACATCCATCCGTACCCATCCATATAAGTATCTCCTGGTGACTGAGGCACTTAGGCCCACCCTAGGATGGAGCCACCATGCTCAGCATTCCAGGCAGACATGCTGCAGAAGTATGTCTGGGAGGGAGCACTGTGCCAGGTTGGCACTGCCACCCCCCCAGGACTCTCCTCTGCTGCTGAGCAGCATAAGCCACCCTGTTCAGAGCAGCATGGACTGAGTCCTGTGCCTGGCCAACTAATACAGCCAGAGCAGCATGGGTAAAGATGGTTCTTCTCATTCTCCTGCTCCTCATAAGCCACTAGCTAGCTGAGATGGGGAATACACTGGTGGCGCCTTTCCACAATCCTCTGTCCACTCCCACAGAGCTGTAGTCTGAGCAAGACTGATGTAACCTAAGAAGGAGGGAACTGTGAGGACAACCAGACTGACTGTGATCATTGAACTGCCTGAGAAAGAGCGGGGTGAAACCTAGCTTGCAAGAAACACGTATCACACTAAGAAGAGAAAATGGCACTTCACCAGAAGGGACAGCTTACGTTTACTGGCGGAGAGCTGGGACTTGTACTGGCCTCGAACCAGTCGGCAGGTGGACCCATCACCATTGCAGACCCCGCAGTTATCTTCTTTGACAGCGCTTCCCAGCTGGTGGTCACAGCCAACGATCTGGCGAGAAAGAAAGATGTGCAGTTCAACGTGAGCACCTACCGACTGACTGCTGGATCCATCTCTGCAATTAATTACGGCCAAATCTCTCTCCCGGTATCTCTAGAGGGCCATAAAGTACCTTAGCAATGAAAGAGGTTGAGCAAATCTGGCTGGGAGTTTGAACTGAATTCAGACGTGAGATAGTGAGCAGGTTAGTACTCAATGACTTTTGCAGTCCAGAGAAAGAAAAAGAGTACTGTTGGAAGTTGTTTTTTTAGGACATTGTGAACATTTCTTGGTCAGAGTCCTATCAGAAATTACACTTCTTAGAGTTTCACAAAGAAAAACCCCTGAAATAGATAAGAAGACAGATAGGAAGCAGACGGATAGGTAAAAGTAAAGAGCAGCACAGATAAATAGTAACATGGCTGAGATCTCAGTGAAATCTTACCTGCTATGCAGTTGGGAAAACCATGTGGTTTTAATTATGTTTGACAATAATCCCATTCCACACTATCAATCCCTGTGTTTAGGCATAGTTAAAGATCTGATAAAGAAGGAGGGATGGTTAAAACAAAAGAACTGAGAGTCAGAAATTCGATTACCTGCTCTGAAACTGGCTTTATGCTTATATGCGAATTGCTTGGTTCAAAATTTTAAAACTTGAATAGATAAACTAGGCTTCTCAGTTTAGAAAAACACTGTAGTTCCCAGGAGAATCAAATATAAATTTGTAATTAAATACTTTTAAAATTAAATACACGGAATACGAAATTATGTAGCACAGTGCTAATGTAGGCCTTCTGTTTGAACATTGAATTCTGAACCAAGTTATGAGTTTTAGACATAAACAATTGAAATCTAGGAAATTAAGCAAGTCCATACAGTGTTATAATTATCTTTATTATACATGCTAGAAAATGAAAGGCCTTCTAGCATTTTGGCGTGCAAAGTAAGCAATGAAAAAACATTTGTGTATAAATTCTACTTCTAAAGAATTTGTGCTAAGACTATTAGTAAAACAGAAAGTATATAAAAACACAGGGACTTTTAAATAAAATGTTTATTTTGACTTTAAATTTCCCCGCATCTGTGAGTTTCAGCTAAATCAGAGAGCTGGGTCTTAGAAACTGGTGAGATCAAACAGTGCACTTATCATTAATTCTCATAAAAGCTGCCTGTGTAACTTGCCCACTTAAACATTCAAACTATTATTCCTTATTTGTGCAAATGCATGTATGCAGAATTGCAGATCTCTGCTATGGTGAGATGTACTTCTGGGCTGACACTTCTCTTCACTTGCCTGTGGAAATGCAGGCTTTGATTAATACGCAGTATTTACTTTTAGCAATTCAATTCCCATTTCTAACATCATTATTTTACTAGGGGCACAATAGTACTTTCCTTGATTATCCGTCATATTGATATTACAATTGATTTAATTTAAATAATTATGAGTTTAGATTCAGGCTTGATGAAAGCTACCATCAAATTTCTTTGACTTTACCCACTTCTACTGGGTCAGAACTGGTCAGTCTTCTATGCTTCTGCACTATATTATGACGTCTCCAGGGGAATTAATGAGGGCTAATGGAGTAACAGTCAGGCATAAATGATACATTTCCCTGAAAACCTAGTCATACCAGGACTGCAAGAGACATTTTATCACATTAGAAACACCATGACAAATAATGGTTAGATAGCTGAAGTAAAGTTAAGATTATCTTGACTCTGACTACTCCAAACAGAGCTTCTAAGTATAGATATATAGATCATATCAGTGATATCAGGTAAGACGCAGGTCTACTTTTGTCTGAATAAGAATATCCCTACAGGAGCTGAACCAGCTTTGATATACACAAAGACTGGTTTGCTTTAATTTTCATGAATGTTCCTGAACAGACAAGATGTGGAAAAAACTCACTTGCATGATCTGAAAACTGTATGACATAATGCCTACAAATCGGAATAGTTTCTTTCAAGTGCGTTACAGCTCACTAACACCCACAGTGAGAAGGATCCTGCTGAGGAACCCAGATATCAGAGCAAAGGCCAGAATTTCCTTTCATATCTACTCCCAATGTATTATATATTTACTCAATGGTTCAGTCTAGAGTGGTATTGAAATCTGCAAGCCTTGGACTATTTTTAAAAGAACATGTGAACTGCCTGGATATTGAAAGGGTTGGATCTCAAATCCAGGTAGGAGGCAATTTCGAAACCATCCTTTACTACTTTAAAGCCTTTTTAACTTTATGAATCATCAGCTTACATGTTGCCATGGGCTGTGCTCTGATTAAAGTTAATTTATAAATTGAGCAATTTGGAGCTAGGTCACAACTTGTAGAGGAAACTGCCAGGAAAATCTCAGGTGTGAAAGTAAGTTATATTGAGGTTCATTGCTCTTTCTGAGATGGACAGGCATTGCCAGTGCGTAGCACAAAAATAATTATTTTGCTGAAATGCTGTATTTCAAATGGAAGTATGAGCAAAATGGAGGCCTCTTGTGAGCACCAAAACTTATGTGGTATGTACAAAATATATTTTAATCTTCCTGTACTTGGTAGTCTCTCAGATAATGTTATGCTATTAGAAATTTTGATGAAATTAAATAAATTTCCTCTTTCTCCCCAAGGTTTCTGCAGAGCTTTTTGTTTTACTGTGTTAGATCATTTGTCTTAATAGATTTCCAGAGCTCTGGGAATATGTATGAGATTTTAATTAAAACCCCTTATGACTGATTAACTAATGCCTGAAAAAAAAAATGTTTCCAAGTTCACTGCTTTTTTCTTTTTATTTTTTTTTTCCTTCACTACTTAAGGAAATCCTTCTTCCATCTATTGGAAGTAATTACATTCAATAAAAAGGCCAATAGCGTTTGCAATGGAGTCACTGATGCATCAAAATGCAAAACACTACTCTGACCTTTTATACTACTTTTTAGTAGTATAAAAGCTCTTACATGGAAACATTACATAGGCCGGACTCTTATGAAAGCAAAAGATCAGACAAGGAAATATTAAAGTGCTCCTGAAAAAATACACAGCTCATGACTTTTGTCTCTGTGGGCAGAAGAAACATAGGTTTGGCTGAGCTAAGATGAGAATATGTCATTTTCGTAACATTATTTCCACTCTCTGTTAAGGCTGCAGAGAACTCACTGCAAAAGATGAAGGTGTGGGTGAAAATATACCACCATCCTCCCAGAAATCTGCAGAGGGCTGGCAAGGAATGGGAAGGCAGAATTGTTTCTTTCAGCATCCATCTATAACATTAACAAAACAGAGGGGAGGTCTTAGAACGGCTGTTATCAGGGATGCTAAGGATGCAACACGCTAGGAGAGACGCAGCTATCAGGAGAAGTACATTCACTTAGGCTGTGGAACTAGAAAAGTCTGCTGAGACACTGACCTATGGGCATACTCATCTGAGTAGGGGTGGTTGAAGACTTGTCATGAAAATAAGCACCATGGAAGATACTGCTTGATCTGGTTGGTAGGCAAAGGAGTGAATAGGGATATTGTGCCTCTAATCTACAGCTCCAAGTAATGTTCTGGTGGACACAGTTTGAAGCAAAATACTTATGTTTGAGGTCTGGGGAATATTCCACTCTGAAAATCTTTGAAATGTCAACTCCTTGTCTTGGTTTGAAACTAGCACCAATGTTGAAATTATGAAGTTTCTGTGGGATGGAAACTTCCTTTTCTAATGCGTTCTAGTCCTGATCTTAATATATCCTGGAGGCTTTAGGGAGGTGAAGTCTTTTTCAATCTATAAATGGGCTGGGAAAGAAGACCCCACCAGGAATGAAAATGGATTACTGCAACAAGTTGTTCCTGGATATGTTCCGAAGTAAGCAGTTTTCATACTCATTTCTATTACATGTTAAGATTCCTCCAGTTAAAGCAGGGTAATGAAGCACAGACTTTCCACACTGAGATCTTTTGAGTTTCAAGTTGCTGAAGTGTGGTCAGAGGCTTGAACTGCAGATTGTTACCACACAAAATGTCAGAGCAGCTCTATTCAGTTCCCCAACAATCTCATCCAAATCTCATTAGAATCAAGAAAATACACTTACAAGTTCAATAGGCTTTGGGTGATGCACTTGCACATTTCTAAAGGTGTTCCTCTGAAGCTCTTTACTATTGTAAATGCCCTTATAGCAGTAAAGGCAGATCATGACGAGCTCTGGAGGTCTCTCAGTAAATGGAAGATGTCAGCCATGCAGTACCAAAGTGAGGAAATTAGAGGTGAGTACCAACCCCCTGCCCAGTTCTTTACCACCTTTAAAGTGTGCTGATTTTTTTATTCTCCTTATGGGTTTAGCATAAAAAGTCAGCAACAAAAAGCCGGAATAATAACAGCTAATCCCTAGTTGGCCGAGCCTGTATTGTTTTCTGGCATAAGATACCGCAGTTCTGCTCAGAGGTAAAGATTCCATATTACGTTTTAGGCTGAAGTCCCATACTTCATGCTGAGTTTGATTCTTCCCCCCACTCCCACATTTACTCCACTGACAGCCAGCGAGTTGGCAAAACAGAATAATAGGCATATTCCTGACTCTGAAATACATACACAAAATAATTTTTACAGGACACTGCAAGAAAAAAGGTGGTCATCAAGTCAGCAGAGTTTAAAAGCATCAGGCTGAAAAGTCCCACAATAGGAGTTGGAACTGACTCACTGAGTGCGTGCATGAATGCTATGTGTGTATGTATTCCCCTTGTGGCCTTGAACTCTGGCTCAGTTTAGCAGATTTTTCCAGAAATAAAACTGGACCAGCAATGACAGGTTCTGCTTCAGCCCTGCTAGCTTGGAAATGCCCTGAAGTAAGAAGTTTTCATAATAATTTCTATTCAGTATTAAGAAACCCTAGGCAGGAAATAATGTAATAAAGCAAGCTTGCAAATCTAGCCAATTATAAATAAATCTCCCTGTTTTTCAAAGGGCATGTCTGCAGTTCAAACACAAGAACTTCTGAGAATCCGAGAAAAACAAAGTTGCCCTTCAGATGGATGCTAATGTGGGGCTCAATCTGGGACTTGTGTTAATTGTCACTGCCCAGCCGAAGAAAGTTTTGGATCAGAGCCACTGTTTCAACTGGATTCGAAATCCTGTTTGACAATCAGGATGAAGAGTTGTTGTACCTTTTAAATTATGGTGGAAAGAACAAGCTCCAGGCTATACAGCAAACTGGAACCGGGCTGATATCTGTGACAGACGGACTGGCAACCCCTGCTGAAGTGATATCTGCCCTTTGGTTTGCGGGCACCTTATGATGACAGTTTGCAGCCTCAGCATTTTTCCGGCATGGCCTGCCAATGTCACCCTGTGACAGGCAGTCTTGTGCAGCACCGTGCACCGGCAGGATCCTCCTATGACCCCAAGGAATTTAGGTGCAAGCACACCACAGCCAGCAACTGCAATTGGAGATTGCAAGATGCCTTTATCAATGGCAGGGCGATTTGTAACTGTGCTGGTAACAGTTGGACCAGTGGCATGTGCAGCCCGTGTACTCTCTTGGCACTTGAGCTGAACACAACTTGCAACCGTTCAGGCAGTGTAAACAAACTTCGGTCGCTGATCAGTAGCCAAATTGTTAAATATAAGCACTGGAGTGACTGAGATCCACCTTCCAACACACTAAGCATGTGGCTGGCCAGCTCAGTGATCTGTTGTTACTTCTTGGTGAATCTACCACTGATCCACTGGAACTGATTTGCAGATCCTGCTTGGCATCAGCCTGGCATTCCCAGTTAGCCAGAGTTCTCTGCTACTCCTATTTTTAAACCCAGGCCAAGACCCTCATGGACCCTCACCTGACCAGCACGGTGGACACAATACATTGAGGACCAGTGCTTCAGCCAAAGCTCTAGAAGTAAACAGCAAACAACCAGCAGCAGAAAGAACTCGAGAGAAATTCCCATTTCTCAGGTTTCCCTCAGGGAAAAGAATAAATGTAAACTCATTCTAAAACCACCCTTGATTTAAAAAGAAGCAATTAAATCAATTTAAAAGCTACAACGTCTAAATGAGGATTTATAGAGGCATTAAAACCTTGGATGTGGGAAAAAGGCAACTCCTATACTTATATGCAAATTTAATTAGGAGTAATCTTCCTACATAAAAAAGACTGAATTTCTCAGGTTCAGTCATACATAACCAACGAATTTATTGTGCGGGCCAGTATAGGAGAGCCCACAGATGTGGAAACAAAGCCATATCTAGTTCATTCTATGATGATACAGAAATCCAGAGGCTACGGTTCTGTAAGGAGAAACATTTAAACAGAATTAAGTTTCAAGGGTTTATTATGAGATGATGAGAGGAAGAAAAGAGTCTTTTTTGATTATTCATATTCACTTATCCATTTCATTCACACTTTTCTTTTGTTTTGGCTGGATTTGGGTTCACATGTTC